GATCGAAGAAAGAGAAGGAACTGAACTCAACCAACTAACTACCGTCTCAATAACTGATTCGTTAGATACAAATCGTTTGGATTTCCGAAGACATTTTATCGAAAAATCTTTATTGATCCAACTCTGCCTGAGTACATTAAGATTTGCCTTTTCGAATAATAACATTCCATCGGTTGAATCTGCGAGAGCATATAAATATCGCTCCCAATACGCAGCACAACGATCTTCAAAAGATTTTTCATCCATAGAAAAGGCAAAAAAATTCTCATTCCAATGCAGACAAAACATAACACGCCTCAGTGAAGAAAAATAGAAGTGAGACAACTCACTTTGTTGTTTCACAGAAAGAAATGGGAATATTGGATAGACCCAAGTAAAAATAGGCAGAACAAAAGATAAGAACAGAGTTTTGCGAAGAGCTGGTGATGTACAACCAAAAAGCCTAAATGACTTAATCAAAGAAATTCTATGTCTCACTTTATTCATTATAAACTTGACAAATTTACCCCAACTTAATTTAGAAGATATTAGATAACCTAAATATTTAAATTCTGATACCCAATTGATTTTCTCTTTAGAACCAGAATTAAAATGAATATCAAATTTAGGATGACCAATAGCACGTGTAGTAAATAAAGCTTGAGTCTTATTAGTATTAATAGGTTGATCAGTTAGGCACGAATAATATTCAAGATGATCGATAAAAACTTTAAGACGTTTTTCTAAATCCAAACATTGATAAGTATATTTAATACCAAGTTGACCAGCAACGATTCCAGCTAAATCGTCAGCAAATAAGTGACTAATACAACCAGCCAAGGAACTACCCAAATCACAATTATAAGTTATAAATAAAGTAGGTGATAAAACACTACCTTGAGGACAACCTTTATCAATATTAAACCACCTAGATCTAGTTTCATTAATCTCTATAAAACCTCTTCTATCAAGTAACCAGGCATATATCCAGTTTAAATAAGCTGGAGGAATACCTAAACGATGAAGTTTACCAATACAACCTGCAAACCACAACTGATCAAAAGCTGTACGAAAATCAACAAAAATAGTGCAAATAGGACTACTATTTGACATTAAACTACGTAAATCTTCAAGGAAAAGTAATAGACGAGTTTGTAAACGAAAATTTTCTCTAAAACCAGACTGATTGTCAGGTAGAAGTCCTCTTCGCAACAGAACATTACGAAATCGTGTAAGAAAGAGTTTCTCACCAACTTTTTGAAAAGAGTCAAGTAGAGAAATAGGACGAGTTAAAGATGGAGGACATACATGTTCTTTTTTCGCTAATAAAATTATGCGAGTATCTTTCCATGCAGAAGGTAAAATAGAATTTTGAAAGGAATAATTATAAAGTTTTAACAATAAAGACCAATGATTAAAATGTAAAAAGTTAAACATAAAATTAGCAATACCATGAGCATCAAGAGATTTCTTTTTACGTTTAGCATGAATAGAACTCATTAGTTCATCTAAAGTAACTTCAGGAATAACATCGTCCATATTATCAAACATAACTGGTGGACTATCCGTATATGGATGAGGTCTGATTATATTTGAACTTTTGAAGAAAGATTCATAATAATCAGCTGCAAGTTCACACATCTGTTCATTCTCTCTAATAATTTCTCCTGAAGTATTAACAAGAGCATGAATAGAAGATGAGGAAGGTATTAAACAACGTTTACTTTTATGCCAAAAAGAGATAGCTGCAGGTGAAGAAGAGTTACGAACATGAAGAAGATAATCAAGTTTAGAAGAGAAAAAACGATTAAGTTCATTTTTAGCAATTTTTTTCAAGAATAACACCTCCTTTTTTACAATGGAACATTTTGTTCTAATTTGTCGAAAAGAAAGAGCTCTAATATAAGATAAAAAGGATCGTAATTCAACTGGTAGAGCTGAACGATATTTATCTAAAGAGAAAAAAGTTGTACAACGAGTAGATAAAAGAAAAAGAAAACGAATATAATCATTATAAGTACTATCAAGAGAAGAGATATTCCAATTCTCTTCCCAAAAGGAGAAAGAATATTCAGAAAAGATTGAGAAAACCTTCCAGTGAACTTTTTTACCTAGTTTTTGTCGTGCAACCTTAAAAGGAATTGTAGAGATAACTGGCCTATGATCACTGGTTGTATTTCCGTTATAAGTTTGTATATCAATATTTAAACCACAAATTAAAGCATAATCAATCACTCTATTTGAACGAAGGGAAGTTGCAGATGAAGGAATAACAGGAGCTAAAAAATGATTATCAGTCCATTCTAAAAGAGATTCAGCTTTCTGACCATCTTGCATAATATCAACATTAAAGTCACCATAAACGATACATTTCTTGGATAAGAACAATGAAAGATCATCCCATGACCAAGATTTACTATTAGGAGCATAGACACCTAGTAATCTAAAATCTTCTTCTCCTTTTATATCAACAACACATACATTAGGTAAATCACATCTAATTCTACTGGAGATAATACCTACTCTAACTAGCACTAATATTCCTCCATGTTTATTCTCTCCTTTTTGATAGAAAATTTTAAAATTAGAAAAAATTTTCTCATAAAATAATGTGTCAATAATACCTGTTTCAATAAGAACAAGAATATCAAAATTGAAAGAAGAAATAAGAAGAAGAACTTCTTGCCATCTCAAATCAAGACCACGAACNAAATCGCATCTAATTCTATTGGAGAAAATACCTTCTCTAACTAATACTAATATTCCTCCATGTTTATTTTCTCCTTTTTGATAGAAGATTTTGAAATTAGAAAAAATTTTCTCATAAAATAATGTGTCAATAATACCTGTTTCAATAAGAACAAGAATATCAAAATTGAAAGAAGAAATAAGAAGAAGAACTTCTTGCCATCTCAAATCAAGACCACGAACATTAAAAGAGAGAATATTATAAGAAAGAAGCTTAGGTTTAGATTTACCAGACACTTGAATGAAATTTTGCCAACGAGAAAAACAACTATGAAGATTAGGATAAGTTTCCCATTCCTCGAGGATTTCACAAAAAAGATAGAATTCAAAGGGAGAAAGTGAAGCTTTGGCTTTACAAAGAAAATGATTACGTTTAGATAATTTATAAGAAGAAGTACACGAGAAAAAAGGAGCAGCAAAGGGAGACAGAGTCATTAGTTGGTAAAATGTTTACCTTCTTTGGCTTTTTTCATTTGGATAAGATAGCGTTCAAGCTTGAGTTTAAGATCAGCATCAAGTGTTCTTCCATTGCTATCACAATTTTGTACTGTAATAAAGCTAAAAAAGTCTTCAAACATAGGAATGATTAATTTGGTAAACATGTTTTCATGGCGTTCCACTTTGAGATTATTCACAATCACCTCTTTTTTTAACTCCATTGATTGTTTTGACAATAAATTTAAATTTTCTTTAATAAGAATATCACTATCATTTTTTGCTAGAATAATTTGTTCAATTTTATCATTTTTAACTTTAAGATTAGATAAGTGAACATTAACATCAGCAATTTGAGCAAGTAAATTATCAAGTTTATTTAACATGTGATTAGATGAGGAGTTTTGTGCTACTGGTAAATTAGGAAAATGTGAATTATTATAAACAATATTGACATTTTTATTTAAATCAATAATTCCATTTTGTGAAACGTGTGAAGGATGATTATTAGAAGATAAAAGTTTACGAGTTAATTCAGATCTAAAAGATTTCACCACATGACATTTAAGAGAATTAGATTTGTGATCGAGACCACAATGAATACATTTTTCAATTTTTGAGCAAATATGTAATTTTAAATCATCAACTAAATCACCACATGCANACAAAGAATTTTATCACTGCACGATATTCGGTTTTTTCCATTGTAACAAAATACACTGACACGTCAACTTCAAATGGCTTGTAAACAAATAATGAATTGACCAATCAAAATAGAATTTTTTGTGTGTTCCAATGGAAGATGAAATATTAAAATAGCGTATAAATTTTGATTCCTCTACTGGTTAATAGGTGTCGCTTTCAAAACTTTTCAACCAACCTGTAATAAGAAACAAGAGTAGAAATAACAGACAAAGAAAAAAAACCAAGAAGAAAGAAGATATACTTTAAAACAGAAACGATTCGGGAAAATCCTCGAGGAGTTGAATTTCATCCACTTCGTAGTTGGGGATCGAAGAAAGAGAAGGAACTGAATTCAACCAACTAACTACCGTCTCAATAATTGATTCATTAGATACAAATCGTTTGGATTTCCGAAGACATTTTATCGAAAAATTTTTATTGATCCAACTCTGCCTGAGTACATTAAGATTTGCCTTTTCAAATAATAACATTCCATCAGTTGAGTCTGCGAGAGCATATAAATATCTCTCCCAGTATGCAGCACAACGATCTTCAAAGGATTTTTCATCCATAGCAAAGGCAAAAAAATTCTCACTCCAATGCAGACAAAACATAATACGCCTCAGTGAAGAAAAATAGTAGTGAGATAGATCACTTTGTTGTTTCACAGAAAGAAATGGGAATATTGGATAGACCCAAGTAAAAATAGGCAGAACAAAAGATAAGAACAGAGTTTTGCGAAGAGTTGGTGATGTACGACCAAAGAGCCTAAATGATTTAATCAAAGAAATTCTATGCCTTACTTTATTCATTATAAACTTAAGAAATTTATCCCAACCTAATTTAGAAGATATTAGATAACCTAAATATTTATATTCTGGTACCCAATTGATTTTCTCTTTAGAACCAGAATTAAAATGAATATCAAATTTAGGATGACCAATAGCACGTGCTGTAAATAAAGCTTGAGTCTTATTAGTATTAATAGGTTGATCAGTTAAGTACGAATAATATTCGAGATGATCAATAAAAACTTTAATACGTTTTTCTAAATCCAAACATTGATAAGAGTATTTAATACCAAGTTGACCAGCAACAATTACAGCTAAATCATCAGCAAATAGGTGACTAGTACAGCTAGCTAAAGAACTACCCAAATCACAATTATAGGTTATAAATAAAGTAGGTGATAAAACACTACCTTGAGGACAACCTTTATCAATATTAAACCACCTAGATTTAGTTTCATTAATTTCTATAAAACTTCTTCTATCAAGTAACCATGCATATATCCAGTTTAAATAAGCTGGAGGAATACCTAAACAACGAAGTTTACCAATACAACAGTCAAACCATAACTGATCAAAAGCTGTACGAAAATCAACAAAAATAGTACTAATAGGACTACTATTTGACATTAAACTACGTAAATCTTCAAGGAAAAGTAATAGACGAGTTTGTAAACGAAAATTTTCTCTAAAACCAGATTGATTATCAGGTAAAAGTCCTCTTCGAAAAAGAACATTACGAAATCGTGTAAGAAAGAGTTTCTCACCAACTTTTTGAAAAGAATCTAGAAGAGAAATAGGACGAGTTAAAGATGGTGGACAAATGTGTTCTTTTTTCGCTAATAAAATTATGCGAGTATCTTTCCATGCAGAAGGTAAAATAGAATTTTGAAAGGAATAATTATAAAGTTTTAATAATAAAGACCAATGATCAAAATGTAAGAAGTTAAACATAAAATTAGCAATACCATGAGCATCAAGAGATTTCGTTTTTCGTTTAGCATGAACAGTACTCATTAGTTCATCCAAAGTAACTTCAGGAATAACTTCGTCCATATTATCAAACATAACTGGTGGACTATCCGTATATGGATGAGGTCTAATTATATTAGAACTTTTAAAAAAAGATTCATAATAATCAGCTGCAAGTTCACACATCTGTTCATTGTCTCTAATGATTTCTCCTGAAGTATTAATAAGAGCATGAATAGAAGATGAAGAAGGTTTTAAACAACGTTTACTTTTATGCCAAAAGGAGATAGCTGCAGGTGAAGAAGAATTACGAATATGAAGAAGATAATCAAGTTTAGAGAAGAAGAAATGATTAAGTTCATTTTTAGCAATTTTTTTCAAGAATAACACCTCCTTTTTTAGTATGGAACATTTTGTTCTAATTTGACGAAAAGAAAGAGCTCTAATATAAGATAAGAAGGATCGTAATTCAACTGGTAAAGCTGAGCGATATTTATCTAAAGAGAAAAAAGTTGTACATCGAGTAGATAAAAGAGAAAGAAAACGAATATAATCATTATAAGTACTATCAATAGAAGAGATATTCCAATTCTCTTCCCAAAAGGAGAAAGAAAATTCAGAAAAGAATGAGAAAACCTTCCAGTGAACTTTTTTACCTAGTTTTTGTCGTGCAGCCTTAAAAGGAATTGTAGAGATAACTGGCCTATGATCACTAGATGTATTTCCGTTATAAATTTGTATATCAATATTTAGATCACGAACTAATGCATAATCAATCACTCTATTTGAACGAAGAGAAGTTGCAGATGAAGGAATAACTGGAGCTAAATAATGATTGTCAGTCCATTTTAGAAGAGATTCAGCTATCTGACCATCTTGCATAATATCAACATTAAAATCACCATAAATGATACATTTCTTGGATAAGAACAATGAAAGATCATCCCATGACCAAGATTTACTATTAGGAGCATACACACCTAGTAATCTAAAATCTTCTTCTCCTTTTATATCAACAACACATACGTTAGGTAAATCACATCTAATTCTACTGGAGATAATACCTTCTCTAACTAACACTACTATTCCTCCATGTTTATTTTCTCCTTTTTGGAAGAAAATTTTAAAATTAGAAAAGATTTTCTCATAAAATGATATGTCAATCATACCTGTTTCAATAAGAACAAGAATATCAAATTTGAAAGAAGAAATAAGAAGAAGAACTTCTTGCCATCTCAAATCAAGACCACGAACGTTAAAAGAAAGAATACTATAAGAAAGAAACTTAGGTTTAGATTTACCAGATACTTGAACGAAGTTTTGCCAACGAGAAAAACAGCTATGAAGATTAGGATAAGTTTCCCACTCCTCGAGGATTTCACAAAAAAGATTAAAATCAAAGGGAGAAAGTGAAGCTTTAGCTTTACAAAGAAAATGATTACGTTTAGATAATTTATAAGAAGAAGTACACGAGAAAAAAGGAACAGCAAAGGGAGACAGAGTCATTAGTTGGTAAAATGTTTACCCTCTTTAGCTTTTTTCATTTGGATAAGATAACGTTCAAGCTTGACTTTAAGATCAGCATCAAGTGTTCTTCCTTTGCTATCACAATTTTGTATTGTAATAAAGCTAAAAATATCTTCAAACATAGGAATAATTAATTTGGTAAACATGTTTTCATGGCGTTCCACCTTGAGATTATTCACAATCACTTCTTTTTTTAATTCATCGATTGTTTTGTCAATAAATTTAAATTTTCTTTGATAAGAAAATCACTATCATTTTTTGCTAAAGTAATTTGTTCAATTTTATCATATTTAACTTTAAGATTAGATAAAGGAACATTAACTTCAGCCATTTGAGCAAGTAAATTATCAAGTTTATTTAACATATGATTAGATGAGGAGTTTTGAGCTACTGGGAAACCAGGAAAATGTGAATTATTATAAACAACATTGACATTTTTATTTAAATCAATCTTTCCATTTTGTGAAACATGTGAAGAATGATTATTAGAAGATAAAAGTTTACTTGTTAATTCAGATCTAAAAGATTTCACCACATGACATTTAAGAGAATTAGATTTGTGATTAAGACCACAATGGATACATTTTTCAATTTTTGAGCAGATATGTAATTTTAAATCATCCACTAAATCACCACACGTACGACATGTATTTTTGATTTGAGAACATTGTTTCTTGAAATGCCCCAGTCCCATACATTTTGAACATATGAGAACTGTTGCTGGTGCTAAGTACTCAGCAATATCATAAGCAATGTATCCAATAATAATTTTTTTTCATTCAATAATTCTTCTCGTACACTAGATGAAGTAAGTTCAAGTTTAACTAATTTGATATAACTTTGAAATTTATTTTTCATTCTAATCACATTTTTAACAGATGGATAACGTAATTTAATTTCTGAACAGAAATCATCAAAGTCCAAATGAAGATAAACATTCTTAACTATCAATGATAATTGAGGAGGAATAACCTGGTCAGACTGAAAAGCATAATTCACATTATTAAAAACATTGGGCCAATGTTTATGATCCAATAAGAATGAGTAAGAATAAGAATCCTTTACAAAAAGAAGAATATCATAATCATTATTTGTGCGAATGTTTGATAAACGGCAGTTTAAAATGTTAATTTCAGTTTGAAATACATTATTACAATGAGTCAATAATTCTTCTTTAACTTGTTTAGGTAAAACATTACCAGTAATAAATTTAATAATGAAAGGTGGAAAAGGATAACGTGTTTGTGTATATCTAGTTGATTCAGTTGTAATAGATATTTGTTGAGGAGGAGATAAACGTTTAGTAACATCATTATGTTGATCACCATTAGATATCAAATTATCATTAGTAATAGCAGCAGCAGCAGGAATATTTGAAGGTGAAGTAATGAGTATTGGTGAAACGGATATTGGAACAAAATCAGATTTAAGACGAGCCGAAGTCATCATTTTATGTTTACCTTTAATTTTCCTCTTATCTTTAACAGTCTCAAAATCATCAAATGAATCATTGGAAGATAATGCATTAGTATTGGACAATACAGGAGAACCAATCACATCCAAACTTTTTTGAGCAGGCAATGGAACTGGTTCTAATGAATTTGAGATGCTGTTAATAATACTAATTGAAGAAGAAGCCATTAAAGACTTCAATTCAATAATATTATCAATTAATAATAAGATAATATATAATATAAATAAATAGTACTCCTTTTTTTTCAACACGGCTGCAAGAGCCGAATAATATAAAGAAAGGAGATAAGGAATAAAGAGAAAGAAAGATATACGATCGATCAGTAGAACGAAAAAAGCGAAGTGACATGATTTTTAAATTTGTTGTGCTGCTCTCTGTTATGAATTTATGATTCCAAGAAGTGTTCGCGTTACCCATGTAAAAAGAATGATGGGGAAAATGAAATTTTAATCGAATTTTTCTGATTAATAATCAATTAAAATGGCATGATTTTAACCAGATTCTAACCCGATTTCTTGATTTTTAATATATTTTAATCGATTATTCGATTTTTAATCGATTTTATATGTTTTTAGTCAATTATTTGATCTTTAATCGAGTTTAATCAAAGGTATCGACATTATGGCTTACAGGAGCGAGTGTCAATGTATGTCGTATATAGGAATGTATTACAGGTAGAACTAGTACTGCACTTTCCATTTGTCAACGCAAGGAGTCAGAAAAAGTAATTAAACATTCAAGCTTCTAAGTGAAAACTGGAGAAAAACGCATTTTTTAGTAACAGCAATTAAAATCGATTAGCAGTCGAGTAATCGATTAAAATGTATTAAAAATCAAGAAATCGGGTTAGAATCTGATTAAAATCGTGCATTTTAATCGATTGTTAATCAGAAAAAATCGATAAAAATCTGATTTTTCCCATCATTCTTTTTACATGGGTAGAAAAGAGTAAGGTAAATAATTGACGAGAAGCAAAACAGAAGCCATAAGACACATAGAAGTATGAATAAATAGGTACAGTAACAGAGACGAGAAAAAGGATAATTTTTATTTCATTCCTGCTCGTGTTTATAATAAGACCTTCATTCTACGAATCACATGAAAGCTACCTATGCAACTATAACCTAGAGTTTCTATTGTGTACAAATGGATGCCATTAAAAAAAGATTCGTATTACTCTATTAAAATAAATGGGAAAAACTTCGAATTTGAATCCGAGTGTTATCTGTACTCCAAAAAGTGAAAACTTATTGAGGACAAATTGATTTAGATTAAAGTGTCCGAAAAATCATTCTGAATAGTAGATTACCGTGAGCAATCTTAGATACATGCACAATTTTCTGAAGAATTAGTAATAATATGTTTTCAGCCTAGAATTTAGAAAAAAACAACCATCAATCATGTGTTTAACAGAAGCACTATGAGAGAATATAAGCCGACCTATGCACAGGAACTATTTTACAGTGCACTGTTTTCTCACGACTTACATTTTGAATAGGAAAGTAAATGAAATAAAATGAGACAAAAAGAAAAAAAAGGAAAAGAAGAGTAATGGATGACAAAGCATTCGAGATGATTTTTTTCATTAATTTCTAGCACGAGAAGATTCTTATACGAATATTTTGGAAAAAAAGAATGCAAACGGAGCGAGTTACATTCAGTTAGAACTATGACGATGAAGAGAAAGCAATAGAAAAGAGAAAGAAAAAGCATTACAGAATACAAAATAAAATGCACTCAACGCGTATAGCGACGAAATCATGATTGTGTACTTTTCATGAATCTGGAATGTGAAGAAGCATTTTAAGGCTACCAAAACATAAACAAACGCTTGTATAGTTATCCGTTTTTTATTGAAAGTAAAGAAGAAAAATATGCACAAAGAGCCCTCGTAAATCATGAAGTGATGAAAATAAATAAATGAATTTTCAATCTTACATGATTGTCTATTCAGTCGATCTACATCGGAAAGAAACTTTGGTATTGTTTTTATTTGTTTTATGACAAAAAGATAAACTATTGACATGGAAAGTACCTGTTGAATTCTCGCTGAGTATACACACATCATATAAAATAATTACTTCAAAGATTTGAAAAGGAACAGAAAATATGAAACCAAAAGTAGTTCGCTTCCTTCATTTAATCGTAAACAGATAGTAACATTGATCAATGTTTCGCAGCATTTAATTAGATAAAACAGAAACAAATTCCTTATGACATTACTTAGGTTGTTGTATTTTAATAATGAATGATTTATTTCCATCGTTAAAGTCTTCAATAGAATGTGTTCATCATGCTACTCGAGTGAAAGGTTCATTGGAACTAAAGAAAAAATATATTCGAAAGATTGACATTATCTCTTTTACGAAGTTAATTGAGCATATATAACATGCAAATCGATATTTAACCTGGAAATCATTCCGTGCCCAGTCTGTTACCAATGAGAAGGGTAAACAGCTAACTTGTTATTTCTGATACATTTTCACCTGACTCCGTTAACACTATAACTTCAAGTTCTTCTCATTTTCCATATTTCTGAATCCAGATAATTGACATCTCACGACTACCGTACCTCACATTTAAATGTCGACATCACGGTAGCTTCTACCACACCCTCTTTTATCTAAACGTTTGTCAAAAATTTTTGGTAATACGACACTATATATGATAATTTAATTTGTTTCTTAATTGCTATCGACTTAACGGGTCTTTAAACCACCTGATGAGCCCATTGAGCAAGGACGAAACTAGTCGTGTGATGCTCTCAATCTAAAAAAGTCTATATCTTTATAATGATTTAATATTGTTATTTGGATTTAGTACGCATTTGTCTTTCACTTCTTCAAAATTTGGAGAGAGTTAGATACATGTACTTATAGGTTGTAAACATACCCGTTGAGTCCCTTAAGCAAGGACGAAACTAGCCGTGTGATGCTCTCAATCTAAAAAGTCTATATCTTTATAATGATTTATTATTGCTTAACTGTTTTTGTAAATTTCTACATATCCTTCAAAAAATTGAGCTTCATAGGACTATGTAGAAGATATTTTAATTGATTTACGTAATCGATTAAGATGTCTTAAGCCACCTGAGGAGACCCTTNAAATCACATCTAATTCTACTGGAGATAATACCTACTCTAACTAGCACTAATATTCCTCCATGTTTATTCTCTCCTTTTTGATAGAAAATTTTAAAATTAGAAAAAATTTTCTCATAAAATAATGTGTCAATAATACCTGTTTCAATAAGAACAAGAATATCAAAATTGAAAGAAGAAATAAGAAGAAGAACTTCTTGCCATCTCAAATCAAGACCACGAACGTTAAAAGAAAGAATATTATAAGAAAGAAGCTTAGGTTTAGATTTACCAGATACTTGAACGAAATTTTGCCAACTAGAAAAACAGCTTTGAAGATTAGGATAAGTTTCCCATTCCTCAAGGATTTCACAAAAAAGATAAAATTCAAAAGGAGAAAGTGAAGCTTTAGCTTTACAAAGAAAATGATTACGTTTAGATAATTTATAAGAAGAAGTACACGAGAAAAAAGGAACAGCAAAGGGAGACAGAGTCATTAGTTGGTAAAAGGTTTACCTTCTTTGGCTTTTTTCATTTGGATAAGATAACGTTCAAGCTTGAGTTTAAGATCAGCATCAAGTGTTCTTCCATTGCTATCACAATTTTGTATTGTAATAAAGCTAAAAAAATCTTCAAACATAGGAATAATTAATTTGGTAAACATGTTTTCATGGCGTTTCACCTTGAGATTATTCACAATCACCTCTTTTTTTAACTCCATCGATTGTTTTGACAATAAATTTAAATTTTCTTTGATAAGAATATCACTATCATTTTTTGCCAGAGTAATTTGTTCAATTTTATCATTTTTAACTTTAAGATTAGATAAATGAACATTAACTTCAGCAATTTGAGCAAGTAAATTATCAAGTTTATTTAACATGTGATTAGATGAGGAGTTTTGAGCTACTGGTAAACCAGGAAAATGTGAATTATTATAAACAATATTGACATTTTTATTTAAATCAATCATTCCATTTTGTGAAACATGTGAAGAATGATTATTAGAAGATAAAAGTTTACGAGTTAATTCAGATCTATAAGATTTCACCATATGACATTTAAGAGAATTAGATTTGTGATCGAGACCACAATGAATACATTTTTCAATTTTTGAGCAAATATGTAATTTTAAATCATCAACTAAATCACCACATGTACGACATGTATTTTTAATTTGAGAACATTGTTTCTTGAAATGCCCCAGTCCCATACATTTTGAACATATGAGAACTGTTGCTGGTGCTAAGTACTCAGCGATATCATAAGCAATGTATCCAATAATAATTTTTTTTCCATTTAATAATTCTTCTCGTAAACTAGATGAAGTGAGTTCAAGTTTAACTAATTTAATATAACTTTGAAATTTATTTTTCATTCTAATCACATTTTTAACAGATGGATAACGTAATTTAATTTCCGAACAGAAATCATCAAAGTCCAAATGAAGATCAACATTCTTAACTATCAATGATAGTTGAGGAGGAATCACCTGGTCAGACGGAAAAGCATAATTCACATTATTAAAAACATTAGGCCAATGTTTCTGATCCAATAAGAATGAATAAGAATAAGAATCCTTTACAAAAAGAAGAATATCATAATCATTGTTTGAGCTAATGTTTGATAAACGACAATTTAAAATGTTAATTTCAGTTTGAAATACATTTTTACAATGAATCAATAATTCTTCTTTAACTTGTTTAGGTAAAACATTACCAGCAATAAATTTAATTATGAAAGGTGGAAAGGGATAACGTGTTTGTGCATATCTAGTTGATTCAGTTGTAATAGATATTTGTTGAGGAAGAGATAAACGTTTAGCAGCATCATTATGTTGATCACCATTAGATATCAAACAATTAGCATTAGTAGTAGCAGCAGCAGTAATATTTGAAGAAGAAGTAATAGGTACTGGTAAAACAGATGTTGGAACAAAATTAGATTGAAGACGAGACGAAGTCATCATTTTATGTTTACGTTTAAGTTTCTTCTTATTTTTAACAGTCTCAAAATCATCAAATGAATCATTGGAAGACAGTGCATTAGTATTGGAGGATACAGGAGAACCAATCATATCCATACTTTTTTGAGCAGGCATTGGAACTGGTTCTAATGAATTTGAAATGTTGTTAATAATATTAATTGAAGAAGAAGCCATTTAAAGACTTCAATTCAATAATATTATCAATTAATAATAGGATAATATATAAATAAATAGTACTCCTTTTTCTTTCAACACGGCAGCAAGAGCCTAATAATATAATATAATATAAAGAAAGGAGAAAAGGAATAAAGAGAAAGAAAGATAGACGACCGATCAGTAGAATGAAAAAAGCGAAGTGAATGTAAAAACATTCTGTTGTTTGTTATTGTATTAATAGTGAAAATTAATTATTCTAGACATTTCTTTTGGATTAATTTGTTTTACTTTTTTGGGACATGAAAAAAAAATCTTCTCTATCATACAAACCTATATATCTCCCCTATAATAAGGACTAGAGATCTGAAAATTTAGGGTAATATTTGTCTAGTTACAAGGGATAAGATGTCCAATTTTGAGCGTTTTTGGATTTGTAATAAGGGAGAACGAACAATTTTTCTAAGATCGACCAAAACTTTTGGCTCATCCTTTAGCATGCATCGAATGAATCGTCGATGCTTGGCGCTCAAATATATGATATTAGCATCCCGTATTATTCATATATCTGCATCATACATGATTATAAAAAGAGTTTGACAACCACTAACAGTGATAGTGTTATTTCAATTTGTTTCAGAAATGTCTAAAACAATACCAAATCGAATATTTCACAATTTTTTATTCTTGCTTTTTTTGGTGCCAAAAGTCTCGGTGGCCACACCAAATTTTCATCTCTATTATACAGATAATATGGATAGCAATGAATTGCATCATGACTGTTTGTTTTATAATGCCAATGAAATTAATACGACTTCTGAAAGCAAAACGATTCGATCGAACCAAATTATGTCTTATTGTATGCGTTCGTTTGATTTGTCATCCAATCGGTCGTTCACTAGCGAAAAATATGTAATTCATGGAACATCAATTACATTCGAAATATTAAAAAGAAAAAACATAACAGGTGAACACTTATATTTATTATCTGCACCTGTCGATGTAGTTGAAAGATATCAAGAATTTCTCGAAAATTCTCAGTCGCCTCTGTCAATTCATACATTTAACAATTGTTCAGAACCATGGTTCGGTGAATATTGTCAATATTCATTCAGTATGTCATGTACATTCAATGAAATTGTATCGACTTATTTTACTCATCTTACTTT